CTAGCTACTGAATACAGTGGTACCTCGGGTTACATACACTTCAGGTTACATACGCTTCAGGTTACAGACTCTGCTAACCCAGAAATAGTGCCTCAGGTTACGAACTTTGCTTCAGGATGAGAACAGAAATCGTGCTCCGGTGGTGCGGCAGCAGCAGGAGGCCCCATTAGCTAAAGTGGTGCTTCAGGTTAAGAACAGTTTCAGGTTAAGAACGGACCTCCGGAACGAATTAAGTACATAACCAGAGGTACCACTGTATTACAGAAAACCTGAGACGTGAGACCCTTCCCCTTTTTTAAAAAACACCAATTCTTCCCCAAAAGGACCACTCCTCCTCCTGTAGCAATGTAGACTTGGGAATCTATCCTGACAATAAATATTATGAGTTGTGGACTCATAGTACAAAATAATTGTGTTTCTTTGGAAAAGTTGCCAAACTCTGCTGTGGCTGACCTAGAGAGAGGGAATTCGTGTTTGCGAAGGACAGCATTATTAGCCGGAGCCTGCAGTTGTGGGTGGGTTGCCAGGAGATTTCCTTTGCAAGTGTGTCAGATGCAAATCAAAAGAGAGGAGGGGGAGCCTCAAGACTCTCTTCCGCTAACAGCTGTGGCAGACGGCCACTTTCATCACCTTGCGCTGCCTGCAGAGGAGCAAATGTAGCACATTGTGGTGTGACCATTTGCCAGCAGATGTCACCCCCTGCGCTGGAGAGAAATGGGAAGAGTCCCTGAAGATTTGGGGAGGAGGGGGGAGGCCCTCACTCCCTCTCCTCCAGGCAGAGGCTGGGCTTGGGGCTTTGTTAAGCCACCGCCTTTTCTTTTAGGCCAAATCCTATTGTCGCCCCATCGGCTGTTGGGGGCATCTGCGCCCCAAGCCACTTAACTGCATTTCCAATCAAGCTGACAATGCGGCTGGGTCAAAAGTCCAAAAATAATGGACCACTTCCATGGGACGCTGTGCCGGGTTGACTTGGGGGAGAGGAAGGGACATTCCTTTAAATGAAGGACATCTGGCAACTCTGCTGCTGGCTGCCGGCTCTTTGATTTACTGGGGTCAAGTGGGTGGTGCCGAGATCTCGTTTCATTCGTTCAGCAGAGGCTAAGTCACCGGGTGCGTGGGTGTGAGAAGAAGAGAGCCCCAATATAACCATGTGTACAAATGAATGCTTTGGAAGACTATATTTGGTGCTGTGGTCTCCCTGCGTATGTTTGCAGTCGCAGAGGCTTGCCATGTTAGTCTCTTGCAGGAAGCAACAAGGCGTCCATAAGACTAAGACCAGGTTTTTCTAAGCAAGAGCCTTCATAATCTGATATGCAACATGGACGTTGAAGGTTACGGATGCCCCATGCATCCATCTGTCCAGCTTCTCAACAGTCCTTCACTGTGACGCCGTGGTCTAAACCACTGAGCCTCTTGGGCTTGCTGATCGGTGAAAGTCGGCAGTTTGAATCCCTGCGGCGGGCTGAGCTCCTGTTGCTCTATCCCAGCTCCTGCCAACCTAGCAGTTTGAAAGCATGCCAGTGCAAGTAGATAAATAGGTACTGCAATGGTGGGACGGTAAACAGCATTTCTGTGCACTGAGGGCCTTTTCGGTAGTGGTGCCCACCCTGTGGAATCCCCTCCCATCAGATGTCAAGGAAATAAACAACTATCTGACTTTTAGAAGACATCTGAAGGCAGCCCTGTTTAGGCAGGTTTTTAATGTTTGGTGTTTTATTGTGCTTTTAATTCTGTTTGGAGCCACCCAGAGTGGCTGGGAAAACCCAGCCAGATGGGCGGGGTATAAATAGTAAAATATTATTATTATTATTATCTGTCACGGTGTCTCGTTGCGCTAGAAGCGGTTTGGTCATGCTGGCCACATGACCAGAAAGCTATCTGTGGACAAACGCCGCCTCCCTCGGCCTGAAAAGCGAGATGAGCGCCTTTGACTGGACGTAACCATCCAGGGGTCCTTTTATTCTGTAGTGTGATCAGGGAACACCCAGTTGTTGGCTTATGCGTGCTTGCGATTTATTCATTTATTTAAACAATTTATACGCCACTTAACTATAGTAGCAGTTTACAAAGACACAATACAAAAACAAAACAAAACAATCAGTTAAAACGCCTGCTGGAATAATAATAATAATAAAGGCGCTGGAAGTTCAGTAGGGAGGGAACCTGGAAAGACTTCCGTAAAATTGGGCCCACAATACTGAGAGCACAACTCTGGTGCATCCAAGCAATGGGGGACCATTAACAGTGTTACTCCCTTGAAAACCTCAGTGTTCAGGGCAGGGATATAAGGGATCAGGCAGTCCTTGAGGTATCCCGGGCCCAAATTGTTAAGAGCTTTGTAAATTGACCCAGGAACCTTGAACCTGGCCCAGTAACGTATGGGCAGCCAGTGCAAACTTTTGAGCACGTGATGGTTCAGCATCCGTTTGAAGATTTCCAGCAAGGGAGAACGCTTCCTCCTCTATTGGTTCCATTGTCATCCTGTTCTTACTGACAGATTGAGAGGGAGACTGTGCATGTCGCTGGACTACAATTCTCATCATGCCTGACCATTGGCCATGCTGACTGGGGCTGATGGGAGTTGGAGTCCAGCGACAACAGGAGGGTCATGAGGTGTGGGGTATACAATGCATCCATAGTAGAGAGGTAGAGAGAAGAATTGTTTCCAAAGTTGAGGTTAAAAAGGTGAAAGCCGGAAGACACATGCATGATGAACCCGCATGGGTGGTTTACTAGCGCATGAATTCACAAAGGTTTAAAGGTAAAGGGACCCCTGACCATTAGGTCCAGTCGTGGCCGACTCTGGGGTTGCGGCTTTATTGGCCGAGGGAGCCGGTATACAGCTTCCGGGTCATGTGGCCAGCATGACTAAGCCGCTTCTGGTGAACCACAGCAGCACACGGAAACGCCGTTTACCTTCCCGCCGGAGCGGTACCTATTTATCTACTTGCACGTTGACATGCTTTCGAACTGCTAGGTTGGCAGGAGCAGGGACCGAGCAACGGGAGCTCACCCCATCGCGGGGATTCGAACCGCCAACCTTCTGATCGGCAAGTCCTAGGCTCTGTGGTTTAACCCACAGCACCACCCACAAAGGTTTATTCCTCCATAAATTTGTTCCTCTTTAAGGTGCTGCAGGGGTCTTAGTTTAAACATTTTGGGATACTTGGAGAAAAAGGGTAGCTGAGAGACTGGAGGTATTGGTGTGTGCATTCAAGGCCGGCATTTCTGGTTGTCATCCTAAAAAGAAAATTATATAACATCTTTTTTTAAAAAAGCATGGACATTAAAGATTCATGGCACTTCTGGAGCCCTGGCACTGGAAGCAGCAATGCCTTGTTTGTGCTGGAGAACTTTCACCTTCTGCAGGAAACCCAGTCCAGTTTCCCCTTGCATTGTTGGGTGGCCTTGAATGTATTGGATGCTCTCAACGTTTGTAAAATAGGCTGCAGGCTACCCAAACACACAGCAGGTACCGTACTTGCAGCAGCTATCTGTATTGTTAAAAGTTCTGCGTTGCTTTCAAGGTGTACAAATGGCCTTGCAGAAAAGTAAAGCACATGGCAAGTTTGTGTGGGAAGGTTTGCAGTGGTTCTCAAAGGGTGTGGCAAGTGTCGCAGAAAGATTCATGGACAATTAAAGAAACATTTAAACATGTCAGTGCATTGTAATAGAGTACAGCATAGTATAGTATCAAAATAATTTTTGGGGGGGAGGGATAGACAACCAGAAACAGTATCTAAGCCTCTCTTCAAGAATATTGGCTATTCTGCTATGGTTCTCGACAGCATATTGTTGTGAACAGGAATTTTCAACAAATACAAAAGATCAGAAAAGAGAAAGGCTTCTTTGTGTGAGAAGATGAGAGTTTGTCTCAAATTAGGCCTCACATAAATGAGATTACCCGGCAAGAGCAAGCGCACACCTCTCATGGAGTTTGTATACATGCTTCATATTTAAGAAGCTCATTTATAATTATATTTTGGGAATGATTCATGTTCTCATGTAGCTGTGTTGTTTTATACTTTTCTGGGTGTCCCATGATAATAATACAAAGTAGTTGTGTTCTGTGTTGTAAATCAAGCACGGCTAGGAGTTGCTTCTTTGTGTTTTCCAATGTATTTCTTATCAATAACAAATTCAGTGAGCAAAGCTTTGTTCTGAAAGTGTGGCCCAGAGGGAAAAAAGTTTGAGAACCACTGGTCTAAATAGAGGGGCAAGCTGGAAGTTCAGAAACACCAGTGAGGAAGTTAGACCTCAACGGAGGGTTGAGGCAAATGTGATGGGGTACCCACTTGTATTTCGGTCACTCGTGTGCCTTGTTCACTCATAATAAAGCAGGCAGTGAGGTGGGGGTGTTTATTTATTTATTGTCTGAAATGGGCGAGGCGAGGAAAAGCCCTCCTCAGCCCATGAATGGGCCATTTTGGCCATGACTAATTCATGGGAGGGGGATGCAGGTGGCGCTGTGGTCTAAACCACAGAGCCTAGGACTTGCCAATTAGAAGGTTGGTGGTTCGAATCCCCGTGACGCGGTGAGCTCCTGTTGCTCGGTCCCTGCTCCTGCCCACCTAGCAGTTTGAAAGCACGTCAAAGTGCAAGTAGATAAATAGGTACTGCTCTGGACGGAAGGTAAACGGCGTTTCCGTGCGCTGCTGTGGTTCACCAGAAGTGGCTTAGTCATGCTGGCCACATGACCCAGAAGCTGTCTGCAGATAATAATAATAATAATAATAATAATAATAATTTATTATTTGTACCCCGCCCATCTGGCTGGGTTTCCCCAGCCACTCTGGGCGGCTTCCACAAATACCAAAAATACACTAATATGTCATACATTAAAAACTTCCCTGAACAGACAAACGCCGGCTCCCTCGGCCTATAAAGCAAGATGAACACACAACCCCAGAGTCATCTGCGACTAACAGTCAGGGGTACCTTTACCTTTACGTTTAATTCATGGGAGCATTAAAATAGTTAGGGTGTGCTCCCAACTGATGCTCTGGGATAGCTCAGGCAGTAGCGCATGAGACTCTTAATCTCAGGGTTGTGAGTTCGAGCCCTGTGTTGGGGAACAGATTCCTGCATTGCAGGGGGTTGGACTAGATGACCCTCGTGGTCTCTTCCAATTCTATGAAAAGTCCACAATACTGTGATATCTTGGGGAGGAGCTTCACATACTTTGCCTGGGGAAGACGAGTGTCTGAAACCCTGGAGAGCCACTGCCAATCAGTGTGGACAAAAACAACCTTGACGGACCAAGCATCTGACACCGACAGGTTCCTATGTTCATTCTGGTGCTTTTTAGGAAAGACTGACAATGGGACTTCTGTTCATCTCCCACCTGAAACTCACAAGATGATCTCATTATGGCCGAAATAGCTCTCTGACAGCCAGCAATGTTTCTGATTGAATGGTATGACATTCAAATATGCCAACAATCCTCACACTGAGGGTGAAGGATTTCCAGTGACAAGCAAGGAAGTACCTGCACATGCAGAGATTAAGGCTTGCTTAAGTTTCTGATAGGGACACTAAACCACAGAGCCTAGGGCTTGCCGATCAAAAGGTTGGCGGTTCGAATCCCCGCGACTGGGTGAGCTCCTGTTGTTCAGTCCCTGCTCCTGCCCACCTAGCAGTTCGAAAGCACATCAAAGTGCAAGTAGATAAATAGGTAGTGCTCCGGCGGGAAAGTAAACAGCGTTTCTGTGTGCTGCTCTGGTTCGCCAGAAGTGGCTTAGTCATGCTGACCACATGACTCGGAAGCTGTACACCAGTTCCCTCGCCAGTAAAGCGAGATGAGCGCCTCAACCCCAGAGTCGTCCATGACTGGACCAAACGGTCAGGGGTCCCTTTACCTTTACCTAAGTTTGTGATGTGCCCCAATCACAGGACAGGGAAAGGAATCACAGAAGGCAGCAGATGGAAAGCACCTGCCAGTCTACAGTAGCCAGAGATGTGATGGGAGGCGTTCTGTTGCACAGTTTGTAATATCCTTGCTAAATTCATCACTCTTATCCTGTAGCTATCATCCTTTATCTCCTTAAGCCTCTGCTCTGGCTCCCTCTCATTTTTCTACATCAGCCACAAGCTCCTGGCACCAGTGACAAAATGAATCACAGTAAGGTGTTTGTGGGAGCTGCTAGTTCCAGGTGAAGGAAGTGTGTCAAAGAAGCCAAATACTTTATATTTGATCTCCAGTACAGATAATGCATGCAGGAGATCTGGGAATGTTTCCTCTTTCTCAGCTACCGAATGCTCGCAAGGGGTCTCCCTGATGAAGGTGTGTTATCTGCATTTGCAGCTATTTCTTGTTGCCAGCGTGGACTCGATCAGTAAAATTAGTTTTGTGTTTTGCGAGAAATCTGTATTAAGTTGTTCTGCGCTGCTGCACAAACGTACGCACTCTCTGCAAATTAGCCAAACAGGTTAATAATTTACCAGTCCCCCTCTTCCTTCCCTCTACATCTGTTGTAGTTTTGTAAAATCTCATTTGGGAAACAGCTTTGTTAAAGATCGCCCTCCCCTTTTCCCCATAGCACACTGTTAATCTCCTGGGAGAATGTGCTGGCATGGAAATCTTTGCAGGCTCCTTTCTGCTGCTCATTTTGGCTCTGGCCAGAGTCCCTCCTTCTTTCCCTCTCTTAGTTCTCTAACAATGCCCGGGGTGCCATATTCTGGAGCCAGACTAGGAGAAAGATAGAGCACAGAAACTCCAGGTTGGAAAGATGGATGGAAGGTTTAGTTAGCCCCTGTGTGGCGGCAGGTAGGAACTAGACTGAAAAGGCAAATGAAGAAGGCGTAAAGGTTATTTATTATCTTAGGAAGCTACCTTATACCTAGTCCAACTTGTTGGCATCTGTCTGTCTCAGAAGACAATGGATGAGTGTGCCTTTGATGGGGAAGTCAAACCATTGGAGGGTTACAGCGCATTCTGTGGTTGTAGAGACTGATATGGGAGACACATACAGTGGTACCTCAGGTTACACACACCTTGGGTTACAAACTCCGCTAACCCAGAAATAGTACCTCGGGTAAAGAACTTTGCTTCAGGATGAGAACAGAAATTGCGTGGTGGCGGCAGTGGGAAGCCCCATTAGCTAAAGTGGTACCTCAGGTTAAGAACGGTTTCCGGTTAAGAATGGACCTCCGGAACAAAATAAGTTCGTTACCAGAGGTACCACTGTATTGTCCCTCACAAATCCTCACATTTCCCCAACTTCCTTTTGGCAAGGAATAACAATAAGACTTTAATGGTGGTTTAAGTTTGTAATGTTAAGTCTGCATTGAACAACAATGAGCATATGATGTTTCCTTTGGGCCTTCCAGAGTAGTACTGCTATCTGAGAGCCTTGGGGGCGGCTAACCTTTGGTCCAGGGTGGTCTTTACCATAGGCGCTGGGGGTGCTGGGCACCCGGGCACCGGGCTCTCTGGGGCGCATGGCTGAGAGTCCGGGGCCCGAGAGTTGGAGTCTGGGGAAGAGCCTGCCCGTCGGTTGGAGCACCATGGTGGGCTCTTCTGCCGTGGTCGGCTCTGCGCCGTGAGTTCGGGGGTGAGCGAGCCAGCAAGGTGCTGAGGCGGCCGGCTGGCTCTGCACTTCTGTGTGCCTGGGATTGGCGTAGGTCCGTGGAGAGGCCCACCCAGCGCACGCTGGTTATGCCATGAGGCGCCCGGCTTCACTCAGTCGCCGACGCTGATGCCTTGGGCTGGTTTGTTGCGCTAGGCTCCTTATGTTTCCTGTTTTCTTTTCCTGAGCCGAGATAATCATGGTGTCAGCTCCCTAAAAAAAGGTTGACAACTCTGGGGAACCTTTCTTTAAAAAGCTAAACAACTTTGCGGTTCCCCCCCTAAAAAATGTCGACAACTCTGGGCAATCTGGGGGGGGGCGTGCCGGGCAGATTTTTGCACCCCGGCGCCGCATATGCTTAAGACGGCCCTGCTTTGGTCTTCTAGAGATGATGTTGGACTACAAGTCCCATAACCCCCCAGCTATTGACCTTTGTTCCTCAGCCCTTCTCCTTAACTAGAGATGGTGTTTCATGTGAGGCTGTTAATGTAACCAAAAGCAGTAATTTCCAATTTACTGTGATATATATTATTACGGAAGTTTCAGACAACGCAGTCACAGTGTCAGGGCTGGTCCAAGACATTTTGCTGTCTGAGGTAGAGGAGCAAATGGTGCTCCCCTATCATAGTGCCCTCCCCTTTTCTCTCCTGTCATGGTGCCTAGCGCCAACGGCCCATCAAGTTGTTTCCCCCCCTTTTTGTGGCACAACCCCACAAGTGCCTCTCCACCTCTTTACGGCCATAATTTGTGCTTCTTTTATTGACAACCCAATTTCTCCCCCTGAGGCAGCCACCTCAGTCTGCATAATGGTAGGGCTGGCCCCATACAGGGACAACTGTTCTCTCCTCGACTCTGACACCTTCCTGTTCCCGCTTCAAAAGCCACCCTTTTACTATGGCAGCTTTTGCTTCAGAGCTCCATACATACAGTTACAAACGGCCTCCCCTGGGGCTCTGGTTCCTTTCAGGAGTTAGCAAAGTCAAATACCTCTCATCAACTATTTTCATGAGTATGCACTACAAAAAAGCTATGTTTTCTTCAACTTGTAATGGAGTTGATGTAGCCTTTAAAAAGGACCTTATTTGACACGTATACTGTATGGTGTTTTGGGGTAGGGTTATTTAATTTGTTTTATTGTGTTGTATTGCATTTTTTATATATATAGATATAATTCACCCTGGTACCTTATGGTCAGGGATGAGTAACAAATATACCGTATTTTTTGCTCTATAAGACTCACTTTTTCCCTCCTAAAAAGTAAGGGGAAATGTGTGTGCGTCTTATGGAGCGAATGCAGGCTTCACAGCTATCCCAGAAGCCAGAACAGCAAGAGGGATTGCTGCTTTCACTGCGCAGTGATCCCTCTTGCTGTTCTGGCTTCTGAGATTCAGAATATTTTTTTTCTTGTTTTCCTCCTCCCAAAACTAGGTGCGTCTTGTGGTCTGGTGCGTCTTATAGAGCGAAAAATACGGTAATAATAATGATGGTGATCCTAACCCACAGCACACACTTGGTAACAAGACAGAGATTTACAGATGTTCTGCCAACTCCTTTCCTTGATGGGCTTGTGTACTTAGAATTCTATGACTTGAAAAGTTCAAGGTGTCTTTCATGCCAGAGCTGAAAGATGTGCTGCTAATGAGACAATTAAAAGAATAAAACACAAACTCAAGGTCAGATAAAACGTGCATTCATATTCCAATTTTAAATGTCTTGTGGAGGGGAAAGCTCTCATGGATTTTTCAGCTAGCCTAGCTAAAGCCCAGTACTTATACAGCACAACCCTGTGCGTGTTTACTCAAAAGTAATTCCCACCTCTTGTTTGGCATCTGGGTAAGGGCCAGCTGAACCTCATGGGCACTAAAAGTGGTCTACCACAAGACCGCAGCAATTTGGGTATTATGATCCCAGGTCATTTAGAGCTTTATCAGTGAGACCTGCAGCAAAATGCAGCATGGAGTTCCCCTGTTTAAGCCAGCCATGCCCTTTTGCAGGACACTCCATTCCATTCTCCCGCTGTTGCCCCTATCTTTTTGTGAAGCTTGGGGTTCCTCAGGCGTGCTAATTCCTTCCTCCTGTGCCATTATACATACAACAGGTCAAAATAAGCTCTTTGAATTGTGACTAGAAAACAAACTGGAAGCCAGTCAAGAACTTTTAACACTGTTGAAAAATGTTCAGAATGGCAGGACCCAGTTAACAACCTGGCTGCTGTTCTGAAGCAGTTGTAGTTTCCAAGTAGTCTTCAAAGAGGCTCAAGTGATTCACAAGTGTTTTCTTGTAAACCTGCCCATTTCCTCAGGCTCCGGTGGGTGAATATATATTTTGAAAGACGTAAAACCAGCACCTTAAAATGCAATAAAACAGATTTTAAAATGCAGTGCTAAAAGCTGCCCTCCACACCAAAGGGCAGCCCGTCGAAGTGCTTTAAGTTGCTTCTGCGAAAGGCTTGGGCCTTGGAAAGACTCCTGAGGAAGGTCCCTTATACTTGTTGCATTGGGCCATC